GGGGGAGGGGGGCATGGAGACTGCCCATTAGGGGCCTCCTCATTGCAGGAGGCCGAGGAGCTGTGAGAAAACGCCGGCCCTGCTCCGCCTGAGCTCATGCCCACACCCAGGCAGGGCTGCCTCCCCTGAGCTGGGGCGACCCTGCTGGTAGCTGGAGCCGTCAGCAAATCCATCCTCGAAGGGGAAACTGAGGCCTCTCCGTGTCTTCACAGGCAGTGAGCGTTTCCATGACGAACAGTGGTCAGCGGCAGGCCGGCCTGCGAGCCCAGGTGGCTGCCTCCAGCCCAGCTCCTTCCACAGAGTCGCTGTGCTGGGCCTGGCGTGGGGCTGCCCGAGGAAAAACAGCAAGTCCTTCCCCTTCTCTTCACCTCAAGCTCCCCCTGACCACCCCAGAGGACCCCCAAGTCTCCCTGAGGCCCAGCAGCGCTATAGGCGCTCAGGTGCTCCCCTGGGCTGGCCTCACCTCTGACCTCTCAGCAGCACAGGCCGGGCCCCGCCTTCCTCCAAAGACTGCCTGCGTGGCTGTCAGCTCCCCTTCTTCCCCGTAGCACCCCACTTCTCAGCCAAGATTTTTCAAACAAGAGGAAAGTGAAGCTTTGTTCTTGGTCGTGTTGGTTCCCAGCACAGGGCCCCTCGGTCTTCATTTGTGCCCTATCATCACCGCGATTCTATTGGTGCCGCTCATCCGCGTTCCCATCCTGCTCCCTCTCTCAGGACCCCCCAAGCACGCTCTCCGCAGGGTTAGCTGAGGAGAGCATCGGGGCTGGCGTCAGCTCCATCAGCCCCCCATCTGCTCTGAGTCCCAGCCCCTTCCCTCTCCCGCTGAGGTGGGACGTTTACATCAGAGTTTTACTGACCATGAGTTTAAGTCCAAAGTACCCCTGGCTGGTCCCTCTCCTGACATGTCTCTAGAGCCCTGAGAACCTTCTACCAATAGAAGGAGCCCTCCATACCAGGGCTCTGCCGCGCCACTGAGGCCCTTCGAGGCGGACCTGCCGAAAGGAGAGGCCCTCCACCTGGCCACATGGTCGGTGAGCTGAGCAAGGGCATCGGGGAGACTGAGAGCAGTTGGGGGACTGGCTTGCTCCCCAGCTGGCTAGGTGTTGAGTCATTCCCAAGTGAGGCTGACTCTCTGCCCAGTCCCTCTCCTGCGGCACCAACCAGGCAGCACTGTGGCTGGTGCAGCGAGGGGCTCAGGAGGCCCTGGTGAGCTGGTGCCGTGCCGTGTGCACGGACAGCTCCAGGGCTGCCAGCCAGCCCCGGGCCCCGGGCCACAGACTCTCCTCATCCTACGCGGTTTCCAGGCCGAGGCAGGGACCCACCCCTCAGTATGTCCTTCTGTAAGGCCATTGGCTGCACCTTGAAATCTTGTCACCTTCCCCAAGTGGCAGCAAAGTGTGACTGAGCCTGTTCACAAAGGGAGACTGTTTTCCCAATCGCTTCGGCATCCAGGTCAGGTCGAGCAGTGACCGAGGGAAACGGAG